CATTGTTTCTCAGGACTCTCCAACACACAGATTCTACTAGAGAAGCTAGGGAGTACTTACCACACCCAGTTTCCAGTCACTGGGATGGTGGACAGAGGCTTTTTCTCCAGAGTGTTAGAGTGAATTCCTCCATTCTTGGAGAAGAAGGCAAAGTTGGGACCCTCTTACCCAGAGCCATGGATATTTTTTTCTTCCCCAGATTTCACTAGGAGAGGCACCAGCCTACGTGTGAAACTACTCATAATACAGGTACCAGTAGCTCGGAATGCATTACTCTATGGCTACAGGTTGGGATCCATTCATAAGTATATATAGATTGTGGTCCAATTGCCCTAGCCAATTACTTTTATATGTTCAATAAATAAGCAATGTTAACTTCCACGTAAAATCTTAGAACTTTAACAAATAAAAGTTCACTGCTACATTTTTATAACAAATATGATTAAGAACATATAAACATCAATTGTTTACTTTATTGTTTTTCCCCAAACCTATAATATTAATTACTAAAAATAGTATGACAAAGGAAATACAGACATTTCAACATGTACATACCTTGACCTCAAGAGAAGAAATTTTCTGTCTCAATTCTGCAATGACCTGAGTGTGCTCCACTTCTTTGATTTTAGTCATCATCTGTTCCTCTTTGATCTAATAAAGAACTTTAATTACTTTCATGAAATTATTATTATATGTATTAAAGACATACTCTTTTATAATATAACAAACTACTTGATGAACTGATGGCTGGGAGATTGAAACTCTGGTGCATGATTGGAGAGGGGGAGGCAAAAAATATACCTAAGTTAATTTAACATAGTATGTACACTAACTAGAAGGCTTCTAGTGGCCTATGTGTTAGATGCCTATGCTTGTTTAAATAAGCATTAGTCTCCAGGTATTAGTGCAAGCTGGTGGTTGTGTTTACATCAATTAAAGCGACTGTCAACACAGATTAATTACTTTTCATCAATTTCAAATTTATACAGTTTGTTACTATGTAGTATAATGTAAATAACTATAAACATTATCCAATGTAGCTTCAATGTAGTATGTGTTAGGCAAAATCGAGTTACAGTTGTGTTCTAAAATTAGATAATAAAAGTGTTCAAGTCATTTGATATCAATGGTTAAAATTGTTTTTACTTTATTTTAAAACAATTGAGTTACCCTGATCCAAGAACACTCACCTGTTCAATATTACAAAATTAATATTCCCAAAGTTCCCATATTCCTGAAAATTCCTGCTCCAGTCCTTTATACCCCACTTAATTGCCCTTGACACTCACCACCTACATCAATGCACCCTCTATCCTGGTACTGATATAAGCACCTCATTCAGATAATGTTGTCACTTTTTCGAGACTGACTCAATTACAGTCTCTAACACTGGCTTTTAGTGGGGAGGAAGAGCGGGAAAGTGTTACAGGAGGTAAGTATTCTTGGAAATACATCTTTGATTTAAGAAAAGTTTAACTTCCAAAACATACTTATTTCTGCTAACACTACAGTTAGAATCCCACATTAATTAGGTTGAGGGGCTGGTGAGGAAATTATCCATACAGAAAGCATCTGCATAGATCATGGGTGTGTCAATAGAAGACTGGCACCCTAGTGGGGGAACCGCATTACATCCAGAACAGGTATGCTCTTCACCTGGATTTATGAGCTATGGGTGAAACTTTACATGATTTGTCATCACTATTGGCCAGGCCCAAACCAGATAAATTTTACCTTTACAAAATGTTATTTATTATTTGTAATTACTTTTATATGTTCTTCTATAAATTAGCAATGATAACTTTCACAAAATGTTATTTATTACTTGTAATTATTTTTATATGTTCTTCTATAAATCAGCAATATTAACTTCCACAAAATGTTTTTTTTATTACTTGTCATAATACAAACATGTATGCTAAAAAATCAACAATGACAGAGAGTTTTACTTTAAAAGATGATTTCCACACATTTTCATTTGTTTTTCTACCCAACAAACCTAAAAACAGGGCAAGATACCAAAGCAGAATGTGTCAAAAAACCCACCAAACTGTTCATCTTTCTTCTTCTTGGTTCACTTGAAATAACTCTACAACTACTTTACCACTAACACCAGTTTAAACCTAAATCCACTCTATGTATTTATAGAATACACTAAATTTAAGTTGGGGAAAACTTCACAAAACAAGTAATAAAGGACATTTTGTGGATGTAAAATGAAGTAGGATTGGCAGAGCCAAATATAATGCTAACAAATATATAGGGATGATAGAGCTATACATAGAGCACCCCTACATGACTTTCAATATTAAAATTTAATGTTACACTGTAAAATGCATACTTGACTTTAATATTACTGCAGTTGGAATTTATATATTCCTGACTGTTGGTATGCAGTTTGTTTATCATAATATGGTCATGTCAGGGTAGTTATCAATGTAGTGTAACTAAGAGCCTAGAACTTACGTACAAGGAAAAACAAATTGAGTCAAAACATGTCTTGGTTATTACAAACTCTTGCTACAAGGATAGTTGACTTGACCGACCATGTAACCATTTTTTACCCATGCATTTTACAGTGTAACAATTTAATTTTAATACTGAAAGTCATCTAGGGATGATCTATGTATAGCTGTATCATCCCTATATTCATGTTTGCAATCATTTTGGCACTGCCATCCCTACATTATACTGAGTATCTTGGTCATCCCTACATATAGTCTACCAACTCTGAAACAATAATATATTTATCTTAAAATACTGTATTATTCCAGTGTCATCCTACTATTGATTGTTGTCATTAAAATCATTATAATTTGATTTTTAAAAAAGATCATTGAGACTGTAAATTACATAGATAATTATCTTGTGCGGAAGATTCACTGTAATTATTCAGGATTGTTATGTGCACTGTCACGTTGTATATCACAGTAGTTTAAAATGCATACTTTTTGTAGCCTAAATTATTAATAACTTACAATAGATTTTGGAGAGAAGAGAATTAAATGAAATTCCTCACAGAACAACAGTATTTTAATGAAACATGAAGAAGATACTTATTTGAGCTAGTTGTTGTAATGGATAATGTATATGTGTATATATATATATATATATATATATATATATATTGTGTGTGTGTATGTATATATATGTATAT